ACTTTGGGATCCCTTTCTGTGTGTTTGTGTGTGTTATATCTGTTCTACAACATTAGCATACAAAGTCACAGTTTTCATTGTGGCATCTTTTTATATGTGTGTCATACTTTGTTCTCATTTGTTCTGCTCTTCTCCTACACTCCCCCATTCCCTCCAGCTGGTACTCACCTCCTCTGTTTTACAATTGCATAGAATCTGCTACTCTATGTCCAACCCCAGTTAAGAGCTCTTCCTCCTCTCTTATTTCCCCCTTTTAGTTTCACTACCATCAAACACATATTTAAACACACACACACACACACACACACACCCCCACACACACCCACGTTTTGTTTTTTTTTTTTTTAAAAAATTTTTTTTTTTTTTTTTTTTTTTTTGCTTTCTTGTATCCCTTATTTTGTTTAACACAATCATTTCTAGTTGCATCATTTTTCTTTATGGTTGAATGAAATTTCATTGTGTGTCTCACCATATTTTAAAATCTACTCATGAATGTCTAGGAGCAAGTTCCAGATCCTGTGTTGTGAATAGTGCAGCTATAAACATTGTGGTGGAGTGAATGCGCATGGCCCCCATAGGCTCATGTCTTGGAATATTTGGTGGAACTGTTTGTGAAGGATTAGGAGGTGTGGCCTTGTTGGAGGAGGTGTGTCACTGGGTTTGAGCCTTGAGGTTTCAAAAGCCTTGTGCCATTTTGAGTTAGTTTCTCTCTGCCTCTTGCTTGTGGTTTGAGATATGAACTCTCAGATGCAGCTGCAGCCACTTGCCACCATGCTTTTGCTCCACCATCATGGACTCTAACACTCTGGAACTGTAACTCAAACAAATGTTTTGCAAGTTGCTCTTGGTCATGGTGCTTTATCATGGCAATAGAAATGTAACTTACATAGTGGTTGATACTGGAAGTAAGCTATTGCTATGATGAACTTGGCCATGTTGTTTTTGTAGAGGACTGTCAAAAGCTTTGGGACTTTGAGCTAGAAAAGTGGTTGAATGCTGTAAACAGAGCTTATTGGGCAATCCTAGTAGGAGCTTGGAAGCCAGTGAGGTTATACATGAAGCTCTGGGCTAAGACAATTTTTGTGATTTTGGCAAAGAACATGGCTGATTTCTGCCCCCTTTCTAATACCTTGCATGTAACCAAATTGAAAAATAGTGGACTTATTTTTTGATGGAAGAGATTTTGAGAGAACCTAATATTGGTTATTAGTAATCACTGCAACATAGGTCTACAATGAAACAGCAAGAGAGGCAAAAGGAAATACAAAATGTACAGTTGAGAGAGAGAGAGAGAGAGAGAGAGAGAGAGAGAAAGACAGAGAGAACCACAAGAGTCAATGTTGGCACCGAGGTGTATCCTGAAAGGGATAAGAAGATGAAGGAGAGGCCTGACCTCTTTTAGAATAAACGTAGGGTGTCCTCAGGGCAAGATCCCACCCAGCTAAGACTTAAATCTGTGAATAGAAAAAGCCTAAGGAAATTTCGTCTCCTAAAAAGCAACAACAAATCAAAGCTGCTGCAATGTGATTCAACGGGGCAGAGGGTTCATCCCAATTTGGTAGCCAACCTTGGCTGTGTCATCTAAGTGGTGCTGGCTTTAGAGTCTTGAAGGATATAGTAGTAAAAGGGGGTCATGGAATCTTCCTCCATAGTTTCAGAGAGCACAGATTCTGACACCAAGCAAGTGGTATAGCAGTCCCTGCTTGGAGGGCCTTGAAGGTAATTGAGTGGAGCTGTGAATAATAAGTCTGGGTCGTGCTGCAGGCTCCTAAGACACTGAAGATGCCAAAGTCATAAGACATCTGCCGAAGAGAGCTGCAGACAGGGAGTGGAACCAGCCCAAGAGAGAAAAGTATATTGCCTACAGCAAAGCGGGAGAAACAGCTGTCTGAGCCCTCTGACATCAGAGATACTGCTACGGGACACAGAGTGTTCGAGGATGGGTTTTCGGTCTCACTTTGGTCCAGTACATTCTTACTCTGCCCCAATTCTTCCTTTTTGGTAGAGTAATGTGTATTTGCATGGTAATTTGCTTTTGCTTTTTGACCTTATGGAGAGTTACAATTAAAAGATTTCTTTGAGTCTCAGAGGAGATGCTGGACTTTTGATTTTGACTTTTAAACAATATGGAAACCGTGAAAGCCTGTGGGGAATTTTAAAGCTGGTATGTTTTACATTAAGATGTGGCATGAGCCTATGTGGTCCAGGGAGTGGAATATGGTGACTTTATTTATTTATTTATTTATTTATTTATTTATTTATTTATTCATTCATTTATTTATTTATAGACATTGTTTCTCTGTGTAGGCCTGGCTGTCCTGGGACTCACTTTGTAGACCAGGTTGGCCTCAAACTAAGAGATCTGCCTGCCTCCTCGTCCCAAATGCTGGAACTAAAGACATGTGCCCTCACACCCAGTGAATGTGGTGATTTGAACGAGAACCCCCCTCATGGGCTTACATGTTTGAATACTCTACCCCCAACTGGTGGAACTGTTTGTGAAGAATTAGAAAGTATGGCCTTGTGAGAGGACGTTTCCGTTGGGGTTGGACTTAGAAGTTTCAAAAGACTCCGTATTGAGCTAGTTTCATTCTGCCTCCTGCTTGTAGACTGAGATGTGAGCTCTCGGCTGCTGCTCCAGCCACCTGCTGCCTAAGCCTTCGCTCCACCATCGTGGACTCTGACCTTCTAGAACTGTGAGCCCAATGAAGTCCTGTTGTTTGTAAAATGCCTTGATCACGACGTCTTATTACAGCAACATAAAAGTAACTTACAATAACACGCAAATATGTGGCATACGGTAGTTTTCTTTTCAGTTGTTGCGGAACTTCCGGTTTCCACGGTGGCTGTAAACTTCACATGCCCGTTCAGAACAAGTGAGAGTTGCTCTTTCCCCATGCCCTCTCCAGCATTTATCGTCATTTGTTTTCTATGTGTACCCATTGCTGACAGGAGTGAACTGGAATCTTACAGCAGTTTAATTTGTATTTCCACGATGACTAAGGCTGTTGGGCACTTTCCAAATGTTTATTAGTCATTTGTATTTCCTCTTTTGAGATGTGTCTGTTGAACTCATTAGCATAGAAATTGAATGATTTGGTGTGTGTGTGTGTGTGTGTGTGTGTGTGTGTGTGTGTGTGTGATGTATAGCTGGCAAATATTTTTTTCTTCTCCATTCAGTATTTTTTTACTCTGGTGATCCTTTCCTTTGCTGTGCAGAAGCCCCTTAAGTTCATGGAATCCAATTTGTCAGTTCTTGGGTTTATTTCTCGTGTAGTCCAATTCAGAAAATCCTTTCCTCTGCCTACATCTTAAAGTGTTTCACCTATGATCTCCTGTAGCAGTTTAAAGGTTTCGAGTCTTATATTAAGCCCTTTGATCTATGTTGAATTGATTTTTAAGCCCAGTGAGAAATATGGATCTAGTTTCTAAATGAAAAAAGAAGTAGAAAGGAAAGGACAGGTCATGGCTGCTCTTAGGTATGGTGGAGGAGAGAGTTGATTATAGATATGTAGGCAGAGACATCTGGGAGAGTTCAGAGTGGGCTTGAATAGACTTAGCTGGACCATGTGGGGAGAGGGGGAGGGGACAGGAGAAGGAGGAGAAAGGAATCAGGTGCAGCAGTCAGAAGGCCAAAGGTACAAAAGAGGGTGGGTAAACAAAAGGGCTGGATTGTCCAGGGAAAAGCCTCTGAGGGAAGGGCAGCCCAGCTGCCCTCGCTGGCCTGGGTAGTTCAGGCTAGAGTGTGGGACATGCCAGGCATGTCCTGTAACAGCTTGGGACTGAGGGATGCTGGGGGACATGGTGGCTGGCCAGGTCTGCTTTGATATGTTAAATAGGTACCTCGGTCATTTGTCCCAGAGTTTCAGAGTTTGAGACTTAACAGTTTCATCTGTCTACTTGTGGAAATCCAATTTTCTCAACACTCACCCCCTCCCCCCCGGCCCAAGGCAGGGTTTCTCTGCATAGCTTTGGCTCTGCTGGATCTCTGTGGACCAGGCTGGTCTCGAACTCAGAGATCTGCCTGTCTCTGCCTCCCAAGTGCTGGGTTTAAAGATGTGCTTTACCAGTGCCAGGCTCAGCACAATTTTTGAAAGAGACTGTCTTTTCTCCATGCTGTACCTGTTACTCCTAGGTTATCTCTTCTGTTCATTGCTCTGTACACCTGTTTCTGTGCTCTTCCCACGATGCTCACTATTATGTCTCTGTGATATAATTTGAGACTGGCTATTGCGATACCTCCAGCATTGTTCTTTTTGCTTTAACTCTGTGTTGCCTTTTGCTCTTCTCTGTGAATTTAGGACTTTTGTCTAAATCTGTGAAGAAGTCATTGGGCATTGGATGGGAGTGGACTGAATCTGTAGATCATTTTTTGGTAATATAGCCATTTCCACAGATCTGTTTGTCCGTGAGCATGACACTCTCTCCATCGTCCAGTGTCTCTGTGCTTATTGCAGAGTTCATTCAGCTTTACTTCCTTGGTTGGGTTTTCCCCTAGGCATTTTATTTTACTTTTGGGACATGTCCCCTCCAATTGTATCTTAAATAGTTAAATAACTATTTAAATAGTTATTTAAATAGTTAGAAGGCTTGGAGTGTAAACGTGAAGAAGGAAGCACGGCATTTCTCCTCCCTGATGGTTTGTCAGTGCACTGTCATCATGTTGTACAGACTCTTATCAACAGACCAGAGCACTACCTGTGACTAACAGGGGACTTCGGTTTCATTCTCGTGTTCGATCCTAAAGAATTAAACAGTCTTTCTATCCTCGTGTTCAGTGAAGAAGTAAAACCCACAAGGTAAGGATTTTGAAGAAGGGGCATTGAATTAAAGAAGGCTTTTACATTTGTCACAAGTAAATCTAGTTTTTCGTGAATGAATTTAGTTGTAAGTGAAACCTTTCTAGTTTTGTTTTATATTTAAATATCTGCTTTATTGCCGAATGACCACGTAGAAGGGCAAAGATTATCTGTTTTGGCTGGCGGCCAGCTAGCCTCACAGCTGGGTTGATCTCTCAGTGAAATTCAGTGGAATATCCTATTAAGTCCGCAAATAGAAGCCACATTTTATAGGTGGTGTTATTTTTACCTGTGTGGTATTGGAACAGCAATCAGCTGTGGAGGTAAAGATGAGCTATCTGTAATACAAGTTATAAAACGATGTAATTATTCAGAGAGTTGTGGGAGGTCTGTATGATGGCTCTATTGTTTTTTAGTTTGCTGTGTGGATTTGCTTCCTGTTGGAATTATGTTCTGATTGAATCTAGAAAGAGGACATTGCTATGTTAACGAATCCATTAAGTCTAATGTTCTGGTAATATGATACAGTTTCTGTTTCTTAGAAATGACGCTACCTTGTAAAACGTTAACGAAAAACCGTTGGGGTTTTACTTAATGATGTCAGGCAAAGGGAATTCTCTTTATGGATGGGCTGATAAATATTTACATAGACTACTTAGGTGTAATAGCCTATAACTTTGAATTAAGTTATGTACATTAAAAAATCTACATGAAATTTCAGTTCAACTACTGCATTTTGGTTTTAATATTCTGAAATCACCTGACTGTAGTTTTGCTGGAAGAGTCTGGAAAATGAAGTAAAGACTTTTTCATTCTTGTTTCATAAGTACAGTACAATACCTTCTAGGGTTATTCTCTTGACTCTTAAAATGCTCCTAACTGGTAAAATGATACGAAACAGTATGCGCTAGGTTGCGTGTGTGTATTTTGTAATCCTTTCCCTTTCGGGCTTTCAGAGCTCTAAGTGTTCTTTATAGAGAGTACTGAGCTACCTCCCTGGTTCACATGTAGAGCAGCACAGACTCATTGGATTACAATTCGTTTTATCAGTTTTAGGGACGAAAGTCCACAATCAAGGTGCTGGCAAGGGTGGTATCTGGGGAAGCTCTCTCCTCATGTTGCAGATGTCTGTTTCTTTCCTATGTTATCCTTTCTCTGGTGTCTCTTCCTCCCCCTGCATCCCTCTCCCCTCTTCCTTTTTGAGACACTGAGGAACAAAGCCAGAGCTGGGTGAGTTTTCTCTCCCCTGAGCTGCATGGCCAGCCTTTCTAAAGAGACTGGCCTTATTACATCAGCCACCAGAAGCTGCTGATAGGCTGTTTTCTCCTTAAAGTTCCCATCTCCAGATACAGTCACACTTGGAAATTCGGGATTCCATATTTAAATTTTGAGGGGAAAACTTTAATCTAAAGCATATGGTAAAGAATATGAAGAAAAACAATTCTCTGAAATGTCATCCATTTCTCGGATGAAACCACAGTCGACATTTGGACATTTTCTCATCATATTTTGAAGCTCTGAGATCACACCATGCTACACTGGTGAAAAAACTTTCTTGTTAAATAAAACGAGGTCAGAGTTGGTAAGGTGATGCCTACATAGTCAGGGAATCAGGAATACAGCAAACTAACAGCCATTTCTTGAGTCCCGTGTGCCAAGTACTTTTTCTAAGGGCTTTATGGTCTGTGTGGGTTATCTTTTTTAACCTGTATAACAACTCAGTAAGCTTCTGAAACTATTACATGTGTGACCCATGAAATTTTTATGCAGCTTTACCCATCTAGGCAAACAAAATCATTTACTGACACTAAATTATAAGGACAATTCATTTTATGATATTTTTGAGTATACATACAATTTTACCCTTTATTAAAGATGGAGGAAAATTTGTATAATGATAAGATGGATGCACTTGCATATTTACAAGGAGAATTAATGTTGGCTGACTACGTGGCGCGACAGGACAATGAGCCCCTTCAGAAGTTTTTGGAGTTGATAGCCACTTTACAATTGTCAGTGGAGTTGCATTTTCCTCCTACCCTCACCTCCTTCTTACTCCACACATAGTTAAAAAACACAATTACTGTTTATCTTTCTTATATTCATTTTGCTCACCACATATATCCTAGAGATCTTCTGAAATCATCTCAAATGAAGTTACTTAGCTTTCTTTTTTTTTTTAAGAGTGCATCATTTGACTACAAATATGTATCACAGTTTATTGAATAAGCCTCTCATTTAGGTAGCTTCCTGTTTGCATACATCTGAATGTGTGGCCCTGGTGTCCAGAAGAGGGGGTCAGCTCCCCCGGAATTGAAGTTGACAAGCAGTTGTCAGTTGCCTGATATGGGTGTTGGGAACTGGTGGGTGTTGGGAATCAAACTCAGGTCCTCTGCTGGAGCAGCAATTTATATTCTCACTGGCTGAATGATCTCTATAGCCCCATCAGCAGTTTTAATGAAAGTTTCTATAATCTCTGAGGATGTTGAACATTTTAACCATGTTTATTGACTTGTTTTATTCTTTTGAGAACTATCTCTTAGATTCATTGGTCCATTGGTTAGATACTTTGTTATTTTAGTGTTTACTTTTTCTAGATTTTAAAATAGAATCTAGGTATTAATTCCTAGTAAGTGACAAAGATTTTTATGCCATTCTTGAGGCAGTATCTTCACTCTGGTAGCTGTTTCCTTTTCTGTGAAGATGTTTTTTAGTTTCACTCAGTCCTATTTGTCAATTCTTGCTATTATTTCCTGAGTCTTTGGAGTCCTTTTCAGAAAGGCTTTGTCTGTGCCTGTATTTTGATTTTTTTCCCCTAAGTTTCATTTATTTCAAAGTTTCAAGTCTGACTTACATTAAGGTTCTTTATTCATTTTGAATTGATTTTTGTACAAAGTAAAGTGAGAGATGGGAATCTAATTTCATCTTTCTGTGTGTGGGCATTCAGACTTTCCCCGTCCCTGCCCTCACCCCCGCCCCCGCCCAGCACCATTTCTCAAATAGGCTGCCTTTTCCCTCATGTATGTTTTTGGCACTTGTGAAGGATCTGACCAATGTGGCTGTGTGGGCTTATTTCTGGGTCCTCTAGTCTGACCTATTGTATACATGCATGTGCCAGGGATGTGCTGCCTTGCTATGGCTCTGTAGCATGATTTGGAATCAGGTAGCATTTAAGTGGTTTGCACGTTTTTTGGCAATACAAATGGTCCTATAGTAAATACCTTTGTGAGAAGACATAGTTTTAAATGATAAGTACTTGTGTTTGAGATGACAGTATCAACTAGTAATTATGTTTCTGAGACCTGACTTTTCCAAATATAAGAAGTGTAGCTATATTTAGAAACATGATCTTGAGAAATTGTGGGCCAGGCTTTATAGTTAAGAGTTACAAACATGTTTTTGTTTTGTTTTAGACATTATTATCTGTAATGAAGATCACGGTGGAGGAGAAGACACAGCAAGGCCTTCTTGTTCCATTGGCTCTGGAGTAGAGAAATTTTTTTTGTAAAGAAAGTTAAAATTATTCACTTTTGTTCCACTTTCATAATATTTATTTATTTATTTTGGTACTAGAGACTGAATATAGGACTTCATGAATGTTAGATAAACACTATGAACTGTATCTCCATTTTTTTTTTCTCTACCTGGACTGAGAGAGTAGAAATTAAAATTCAGTGCTAAACCAACTGATAAACTAATATCCATTCTGGCATTTTTCCTATTTTTGTATCTGAAAAAGAGTAGTTAGCTGTGCTAGCTTCGGCAGCACGTATACTAAGAGTAGTTAGCCAAGAGCCGTAGGCATTCATGATGAAATATACCAAATGCAATTTTATGATGTCAGTGTTCGGCATTATAATCTACGTAACTGATTTAGTTACAGACATTCTCCTGTCTGTTAGGTATTTCCATGATGGACAATATCTTTTTGGTGTTTTAACATTAAGCTTTGTGCTTTGTGGAACACTCATAGTTCATTGTTTTAGCTATTCATGGTTGAAGGCTGACTTAAAGAAAGCAGGACAAGAAAATGAACATTGTTTTCTTCTACTTCATTGCTTGCAAGGAGGAGTTTTTACAAGGTGAGTGCAGATGCTTAATCCCCGACATTGCTATTTTATCCAAGCAGATGGTTTGTTTATAGATTTAGATAGTCAAATGTGCAAGGTTCTGTATTTACATGTAGGGCACATATTACTTGCTTCCCAAAACATTAGTTTTTATGCAAATAATTGCTGCACTCTTAGACCTTCTCTGGATTCATTGAGTCTTCTCTTTCCATCACTACATGCCCCCACCATAACCCTCTGCAGTGGTTTGAAGGAGAGGGTTAACTATCTCTGATGTAGGATGAAGCATCCTTTAGGTATTTGCCCAAGAATGGGATAGCTGAATCTTTAGATAGATCTATGCCCAGCTTCCTGGGGAACCGCCACACCACTGATTTCCATAGTGTCTGTAAAAGGTGGTGCATCCCCCCCACCCCACCAGCAACATCCTTTCCAACATCCTCACCAGCATGTGCTGTCATTTGTTTTACTGATATTGGCCATTCTGACTGGTGAAAAAGGAAATCTCAAAGCACTTTTAATTTATATTTCCCTGATGGCTAAGAATGATGAACTTAAGCATTTCTCAGCCATTTGTGTTTCATCTTCTGAGAACTCTGCTTAGTTTTAAATTTGGTTCTTTGTTTCTTGATGATTAGTTTTTTTTGTTCTCTGTATATTTTAGATACTAACCCTCTATCAGGGGACCATTCTTATTCAAACCACCACAGCTGGCAAGATTACCTCTGGGGTTTTTTGTTTGCAATCCTAGCACTTCACTTGTGGCTTTATTTCAGCTTGGTTTTCTTTAGTGAGTTTCTTTATTTTATTATTATTCAACCATCTGTGTTCCCACAAACCTCTTTAAGGAATTAATTCATATCCTTGTTAAGCTCCTTGAACCTACTCGTAATTGTTATTTTGAAGACCTTGTCTTGTACTTCAGCTGTATCGCATTTCTCAGAGCCTGCAGTGTCAGGTCGCCGCCTTCGGTAGAGACATTTTATTATGGCTGTTCATGTTTATACTTTTGCCTTCAGATCTAGTTGTCTTCAAGTTATGATGTTTGAGGTATTCTTTTGGTGTTGATATTTGGTCTTGTTATTGTGTGGGTGGGTGTTCTGGTCTTCAGGCACCTTCTCTGAATCCTAGGCAAATATTGTAGCTGTCTGGTCCTTGGTAGAGAGTGCTTTGGCAAGTTGGTGGGTGACAGAAAGGAAGTGAGATGGGAGGGGCTGTGGGAAAGAGCAGGGTGGAGATTGGGTCAAAAGAGGAGTTCCCGGGGAATGGAGGTGTGGTGGGAGGCGGGGTTCTTGCAGGCAGACTGCAGTGGGACAAAGGACAAGCCACAGGATAAAGAATAAGTGACAGCTTCTTTAGGTGTATAGATTTTAGTATGTTTATCCTATGTTATATGTCTAATATACACTTAGAAGTGAGTATATACCATGTGTGTCTTTCTGCTTTTGGGATACCTCACTCAGGATGATCTTTTCTAGTTCCATCTACTTACCTGCAAATTTCACAATTTCCTTGTTTAATTGCTGAGTAGTATTCCATTGTGTAAATGTACCACAATTTCTGTATCCATCACTTAGTTGAGGGACATCTGGGTTGTTTCCAGGTTCTGGTTATTACAAATAAAGTTGCTACAAACATGGTTGAGCAAATGTTCTTGGTGTGCACTTGGATATATGCCTAGGAGTGGTATAGCTGGATCTTGGGGAAGCGCTATTCCTAATTGTCTGAGAAAGCGCAAGATTGATTTCCAAAGTGGTTGTACAAGTTTACATTCCCACCAGCAATGGAGGAGGTTTCCCCTTCCTCCCCATACTCTCTAGTATGTTTTGTCACTTGAGTTTTTGATCTTACCCATTCTGATCAGTGTAAGGTGAAATCTCAGGGTTGTTTTGATTTGTGTTTCCCTGATGGCTAATGAGGTTGAGCATTTCCTTAAGTGTTTCTCTGCCATTCTATATTCCTGTACAGAGAATTCTCTGTTTGGCTTTGTAAAGTAATCCATTTTTAATTGGATTACTTGATTTGTTGCTTTTTAAGCCAGAAGGAGGACCCTGGGTAAGATGATCAGTCTTCACTTAGAAAGATAAACAGGATGGACATCAGAAGAGGGAGCAAAGGGACTCGGAAAGACTCTACCCAGCAGTGTATCAAAGCAGATGCTGAGGCTCATAACCAAACTTTGGGCAGAGTGCAGGGAATTTTATGAAAAAAGGGGAAGATAGAAAGACCTGGAGGGACAGGAACTCCACAAGGAGAGCAACAGAACCAAGAAATCTGTGCCCAGGAGTTTTTTCTGAGACTGATACTCCAACCAATAACCATTCATGGAGATAACTAGAACCCCTGCACAAAAGTAGCCCACGGCAGCTTAGTGTCCAAGTGGGTTTCCTAGTAAGGGGAACAGGGGCTATCCCTGACATGAACTCAGTGGCTGGCTCTTTGATCACCTCCCCCTGATGGAGGAGCAGCCTTACCAGGCCACAGAGGAAGACAATGCAGCCAGTCCTGATGAGACCTGATAGGCTAGGGTCAGATGGAAAGGGAGGAGGACCTCCCCTATCAGTGGACTTGGAGGGGGCATGGGAGGAGATGAGGGAGGGAGTGTGGGATTAGGAGGGGGTGAGAGAGGGGGCTACAGCTGGGATACAAGTGAATAAACTGTAATTAATATAAAAAATTAAAATTAAAGAAAAGAATAAGAGACAGGGATGAATGGGGTAGGGTCAGTCTAGGTCAGTACCAAGAGGTGGAGTTTTCAGTGAATGGAGTTGGAGTGGGAGGAGGGGCTCCTGCAAGCTAGATGCTATAGGACAGAGTGTGAGAATAACCAACATTGTTGTTCTTTAATCCAAACATACATGACTACTTTTTGAAGCTGAGTAATCAGATGAGCAAAGGTACAAGGTTCTTTGGTTGAAAACAGCACAAAGGTTACTTGTTCTTTGCTATTGCTGTTTCTTTGCGTTGTTGCCAGGAGTTTCCAGATTTATTAATATGTATTTTAATTTAATAGACCATTTTACTTTGTTTAAGAGACAAAAAAAAAATGCAATGGGAAGCGTTTGCGCTTTAGGGGAGCTGAAAGAACAGTACTTTCTTTTAGTCAGTTCTGGAAGCTCACACTCTCTCAATTAGGTGAAAGGGAATGGAGCAGAGGTTAGTACTGGTACGCAAATAGATATATCGTAGATAAGACTTACTGTGTAGTACATATGAGCAGTAAGGGTTATGAAGTTCTGTTAGTCAAAGACATAAGGATTATACTTTAAGAGGTTTATTTTTATGTTAATCTTTTTCATGAGCATGCAATATAGTGCATTTTATTAGGACACTTTCATCCATGTATATTGTTGTGTTTTGCTCTCATTTATTCCCTTGTCCCTCTTCCTCATCTCTTTATTCCACCAAAGTAGTCTTACTTCTGTTTTGACTTTCCATGTATAGGAAAACATGTGACGTTTACCTCTCCCCCATTTTTTAATAACTTTTTTTTTTCTATCCTTCTCACCTTTGACTCCTTTCTCCCCTTGAATAGTATCCTTTCTACCTTCATGGCATATATATCTAGTATTTGGCATATTAGACAAAATATAACAGTTTTCTTTCTTGAGTTCTGTTTCTCTTGCTTATATTATGGTCTCCAATTCCATTTATTTTCATGCAAATGCTCCAATGTCATTCTTTACGGCTGACTAAAATGCCATTTTTCATATAGACCACATTTTCTTTTGTGTGTGTGTATAGTTCAATTCACTTGTGTTTGTAGGGTATATGTATGTGTGTGTGTGTGGTGCTTGTATGTGTGCTGTATGAAGCCTTGGATGTGTGAGCAGCTGCACACAGCTGTGCATGCATGTAAAGGCCAGAGGAAGACGCTGGGTACGCTGCTCTTATCACTGTCCACCTTATTCTTTTGAAACAGGACTTCTCCCTGCACCTGTCCAGGCTGGGAGCCAGGAGGCCACAGTGATTCTCCTGTCCCCACCCCCCACAACCCTGGGGTTGCAGGTACTCACTTGGCCATGCCTGGCTGTTTATATGGGTGCTGGGATCCAGCCAGCAAGTGCTCTGGCCCACTGAGCCTTGTCTCCAGCCCCTGCATTTTTCCTTACCCATTTATTTGTTAATAGACATCTGGACTGTTGTGGTAGTTCAATCATTGATGTTTTGAGAGCTCTTTATAATGGTTTACTCAGTGGCTATAGTGATTTGATTATTTCCAGTACTCTGGAAATGTTCATTTACCCTGGTACATTTACCAGCATAGTTAGTTTTCTATTTTCCTGACAATAGCCACTCTGACTGGTTTGAGATGGAATCTTTGTGTTTTTTGAATTGCATATACTTATCAGCCCTTTGTGCTTCTTTTGAACTGTCTAGTTAAGGCATTTGTCCATTTATTAATTAGATAATATGGTGGTTTGAATAAACTACTAGGAGGTGTGGCTTTGTTGGAGTAGGTGTGGCCTTGTTGGAGGAAGTGTGTCACTAGGGGTGGGCTTTGAGGTTCCAGAAGCTCAACCTAGGCCCACTGGCTCACTCTTCCTTCCTGCTGCCTGAGGATCTAGATGTAGAACTCAGAGCTCCTCCACCACCATATCTGCCTCCACACTGCCATGTTTCCCACCATGATGGTAATGGACTAAACCTATAACATTGTTAACCAGCCCCAATTAAATGTTTTCTTTTATAAGAATTGCTGGGGTCCTGGAGTCTCAGCAGTGGAAACCCTAACTAAGACAGACGACCAATTGTTTTGGTAGTTATTTGAGTTCTTTGTAGGTTCTAGGTACTAGTCTCCTGTAAGATTGATATCTGGCCACGACCTTCCTTCTGCATGCTGTCTTTCCACTCTAGTAATTGTTTTCTTTGTGGCAGAGAAACTTTTCATCCCTTGTAATCCTATTTATCAATCCTTATTAGTATTTCATGAGTTGTTGGAGTCCTTTTTAGAGAGCCCTGGCCCATGCCTATATATGGAAATGTTTTCCCTATGTTTAGGTCTTTATGAT